GAGCAGGAGGAGGGGGTTAAATGTATGGCTAATTTGTGAAACATTTGAATAAAGGGATGAAGATTGTGACAGGACCATACAAAGTGACAGCCAGGGAAATGAAAGTCCTTGAATCAGCTGAAGAGAAAGTGTTGGCGTCGAACCCGAGAGTTAAAAAATGTGAAATTTTACGAATGTGCTACCTGAGAGTGTATGTTCGTCACTTTTTAAAATATAGCTACAGGCCCGTATTCTGAACTCATTCAGCTGAACGAGGTGATTCCTTCGCTTTTTTTTTTTTTTGTTTCTTCACCCTTAATTCACCTCTTACCCCCAGGCCAAAACCATAACCCCATGAATGGCTGCATGACCACACACACACATGCACACACGCAGACAGAAAAATGCGAAGAAGCTGCAGCTGAGGTAGATCAGCAGAAGGGGTGAGGAGCGATTGAGGCGGCTAATTCAACAACAGTTATCACTGTGTGTGTGTGCGTGTGTGTGTGTGTGTAAGAGAGGGAGACTTAAGGTGCAATCTTGTGCAATCTCCTTGCCCCAGGTTACACATATGTACTTTAGCACCAACGCGCCGAATCAGCCACCCATCTCTCTGATTGATGAGCTGAGCGGTTGCATCTCGTAAAACTCTGGTCTCGCAGCACACCTGGGATCCTTATGCAATCCAAGGTGAGGCTGAGTCTTGCTAGAGGTGGGGGGAATAAAAACAGCATACGAAGTTCTGTTGGAATTAATACATTCATATGGCAAACTGGTTTATTCAGACTGACTATAATGATGCAAACCCTTTAAGCCCAAGTCTGAGGTAAGTAATTGAACAGATGCCTGATTCAGTAGTAAAAATAATGTCGCACAGACAGTCAGATGGTGACTAAAGAAAACAACAGAGTATACGTCCATCTATAGGAGCATAAGAGAGGCATCTGCAGGTCCCCCTAACCAAAACATTAAAGGATGATTCTGTCTGATTATGAAGCTTATTTTCAGAGACTTGTAATTATTTAAAGGGATATTCCGGCGTAAAATTCATTTAGGGTCAAACATACCATAACACCGAGTTAGACACCCACCCGAGAGATGAATGTTGCCTACCGCTTGCTTCTCTAGTTTTACCAACTTTAGTAACCACTGCAGGATAGCAATAGACTTGCTACAATACATCATTACTTTATCATTTCCTTGAAGTAATAATCAATCATATTTATCGGTTCGCTCTACGGACACTCGGTCTGATAGCATTTCCATAAAGAAATGATCATAAATGTTCTTCCTTGAGCTGCGCCACCCCGCAGCAGTCCGTAATGGACTGGCCTGAGGTCTCGCTACAAACAAGGGGCTGCTGGAAGAGAGTAGGTGAGTTGTGTTTGGTCTCTTTGGTAAAGAAATTAGACAAAGTTAAAAAGATGTTTGGTGGCTAGTGCTATGGCTAGGACCCTATATGTACTGTTGATGAAGTTAGGTGCTGTTCTGAGCATTATTTGTGGCTATAGAGTAGCGTTTTGGTTGAGCGCGTGGCTCTCTGTATATTTCTATCCTGAGGTCGTTACTAAAGTTGGTATAACTAGAGAAGCAAGCAGCAGCATTCATCTCTCGAGGGGGTTACGGTGTTACGGTGTGTTTGACCCTAAATTAATTTTACGTCGGAATATCCCTTTAATGTGACAAATGTAGATGAGGGGCAGGATTTCCCCGGTTTTGTTTGTAGCCTATTTGCTATCATCAGACAACATTTAGCTTCATGGTTTGTCATCAGATATTCCTTATCAGTTCTGCCTGCTTAAAAAGAAGTCTACAGGTGATCTCCTTCACATAGTATTACAGTTAAAATTCAACCCAAAAGCTGGAGCAGTATCTGCTCATGAGACAAACATTCATTTGCAGGGTACTGAAGCATTTCTTACCCTCATGTCTGCAGGAATAACCTTAAAATGAGGAGATCCTATGTTAACACACGCCTCCCCCTCTTCCCCCCTTGTCTCTGCTGATGCACTCGTGTAATTGCAATAGACAATCAGATGCCATCTTTATGGGTGCATGGTACAACTGTCACTATGTGTAAAGCTATGAAAAAGCGCGGCCGATAAATCCTGTCAAAATGGCTTATAACATGTTAACGCCTCCCTCACCAGCACACAGTGTTGATTCTCCCTCTGAATCAGTCAGCCGGAGACAGGGAGTCCTTTTCTTAACAGATGTAGCCATCAATGCATTGACCTCATCCACACATTCTTAATAAGAGCTAATGGAGGATAATGGAAGCTGTGTGGATGTTTGTTGTTGCAGCGGTTGAGTGGGGGATTGTTGATCTAATAATGTTGGTTAGAAGCTGTTTGTTTGACTGTTTCTTGTCATTATAGTGTTGCATAATTCAAACAGATCCTGCAGTAACTCCATACCATAAACTATAATCTCCATCTAACAAGAGGGATATTCTGGCGTACAATTAATTTAGGGTCAAACACACTGTAACACTGAGTTAGACACCCCCTCAAGAGATGAATGTTGCCGATTGCTTGCTCCTCTAGTTATACCAACTTTAGTAATGACCGCACGATAGCAATACACAGAGGAGCCATAGACAAACCCCAACAAAAACATAACTCTATAGCCACAAATAATACTCAGAACAGCACCTAACTTCATCAACAGTACATACAGGGTCCTAGCCATAGCACTAGCCACCAAACATCTTTTTAACTTTGCCCAATTTCTTTAGCAAAGTGACCAAACACAACTCACCTACTCTCTTCCAGCAGCCGCTTGTTTGTAGTGAGAACATTTATGATCATTTCTTTATCATTTCCTTGAAGTAATAATCATCATATAAATCATTTTGCACTGTAGACACGGTAGTTCTTCTGCCTTAGTGTCTCGGTCTGATTGCATTTCCCAGAGGAAATGGCCATAAATGTTCTTCCTTGAGCTGTGTCACCCCGCAGCAGTCCGTAATGGACTGGCCTGAGGTCTCGCTACAAACAAGGGGCTGCTGGAAGAGAGTAGGTGAGTTCTGTTTAGTCTGCTAAAGAAATTAGAATTAAAGAAATAAATTTTACGCTGGAATATCCCTTTAAGTCTACACCTAAAAGTGGTGAGGGCGCTTCCATCCCAGACCCAGACTGATTTTTTTTAAAGAAGGGTCTGACAACTGAAGGCTCTACTTCCCGCATCATATTTAGAGATTTCACTAACAGACAAGATATTTAAGTCTTTGCAGGTTGACTGTTTGGTTGGTGGTCTTTTTAATCAATCATTTATCTGCAACAGGTGCAACACATTTTTTAGGACCAGCTAAAAGGTCTTTAGAAGGGGAATTACAATCACCCAACCTGGGGGTAATGTCTGCATGGACGAGTTGTTCTTTCTCAGTTTGAGACAGGGTGTCTTTTCTTTGTGAAGGCGAAAAAGGCTGTCCTTGAAATTTGCGGTTCTGGACCTGAGGCTGATGCCATGTATGTCAGTAGAAAAAGTCCCAAAGGTGTTTGAGGTCAAGAGGAATAACCTCAGTTTTGTCTGAGTTAAGCTGCATGTCGATGTCCTTTAGTTGAACTAATTTACCAGCCGGTCTGGGTTCAATAGTGCAAAAATGGACTATTTTACTGTGGCTGTTTAAAACGGCTTTATTGATATTGTGCTTAATGTTTATTCTTAATGCTACAATGACTTTTTAAGCCTTACTTAGAGAAGATTGCTAATGTTTGATTTTGCACTAAATACAACAGGAAAAATCACAAACTGGAGTGTGAAATGATGTCAATATCCCTGTTTTTTGAGTACATTCTTAAAGACCATATGGACCTAAACTTTCTCAGTTTCGCTGAAGTTGAATCTTTTGCTAAATTATAAGATACTCCTGGATGAGTTTTTACAGCTCTGCACTCTCGTTGACGCCTTGCTGCAGAGAAAAGAGAGATAAAAACCAGTAGAAAGAAGGAGAGCACATGGTGGTTCATTGGAGGACATAAGGTCACAAGAAATACTGATGTGAACCTCACCTCATTGACCTTTGACTTGTCCCTCACCAGGCAGTGAGACAAAGTCAAAAGAGCATTAATGCTGCCAGGATCAGAGGCACGGCTCAGAAGGTGGGTCATGAGTGTGCTGATCCGGGGCTGACCCTGTGGAGTGTCAGGAGGCTGCCTCTAATTGGCGCCTCAGTTTGAATACCTGCTGAGGCCTCATAACAGGACTCAGGTTCAAGCAGGAGGGAAATGACTATGAATGTATTGAAGCCCAAAACAGTGTTAGTTTTCCTACTTTGATATCATACATGACATTATTTATCTTATTTTATGTTTCTTTCCATAATAACTGATTGAAACCTCTTGATTTAGTTTTGCTGATTTGCTTTCACATGAATCACATCGCTCTTGCAGGACTAGTGACATTTCTTTGACTGCCTAATCTTTTAATTTGAATATTTTTTTGTAGGATTCAGACGCCTTCCAGAAAGATGACACTTTTGGTCTCAATCTTGACCTTTTCAAAAGTGTGATATCTTATTTTTGCTCTGGTTCATTAATATTACTTGACAAAGTATTTCCCCTCGTATCTTGTGAGATAAAGTTCTCACTAGCGTCCAGCATTTTTAAATGTATTTTTAAGCAGGGATGTTTTGTTGCCATGGTATTACACAGAGAATTTATAACAGTTTTTATAGAGCAGCAAATTTTGTGACCAAAGCTTAATTATTTACACCTCAGAATTAAGTACAACCGTTCGATTCTGCACACTGCATTCCATCCAAATATTAACATAACCGAGAGAACAAGAGCCTCTTTGTCGACAGACCACATCACAAACTGCCCAGAGTAGTCACAAGGCTTGTTCAAATGACTGCGAGCTGTTTTTTATCCCTCACATCTTCTTCATGACACTTGCCACAAACGCACAGTGAGCCGTCTTACAGTCCACGTTAAACAATAACTCTGTTTTCTCGCTGCTTTTTTTTTTACGTAAGAAGTTCTTAAGGGAAGCACGCAGTTGAAAGATCTGCAGAGAAATCAGGGGTCATGAGCAGCGCATCGCTGTGATTTATTGAAACAGGGTGAACATAATGCTAACATCAGTTACTGGAAAACACTGAAGCCACATACACTGATATGTGGCGAAGGAGAGGGGAGATAATTCAGGGTTGAAATCGCAGCATTTTCACAGAAATCCACCAGGAATAAGAGACGCATTGATGCAAACACAAATACATACATACGTGACAAACTCACAGATTTAGTCCATGGATGAGCTCCAGTAGGATGCGCCTGTTGTTTTATATTTGCCCACTCTTCTCAGTGCATGTATCATTACTTCCATAATATTCATTAGCAGGTTCTGCTGCCACAACTTGACTTGTTAATGGTGCTAATAGCAAACATCCAGCCAGCAGCAGAAAGGCTTTCAGACGCACGGATCATTGTTCACATGTCACAAAAAGATCTCTCGGCCTCTGGGTGCTCTTTTTCTCTCTCAGTGGCCTCCCTCCCTCCCTCTGTCCCTCTCTCTCTCTCTCCAGTAGCCCCTGTGGGAGCGTGAGGGTTGAAATGACACACAGTGGCTGACTGTCGCCCAGGGGCCTGGGTTCTGGCCTTGGCTGGCTGGATCTGTGTGGCAGCTGGTGAGCCCGCTGCCCTCTCTGTGGCCTGCAGCATCAACAGTGGTGGTAGTGGGACTGATTGGAGCCTCACTCTGATCTCTGACTCTGGGGCTGACGCTCAACTGCTCACTGCTGCCCACACTGACTGGTGGAGAGGAAGTGGGACAGAGAGCAGGGATGTAATCAGAGACACACACACACAGAAACTTAACTGTCTGCGAGTGAAACATGAAATAGGAGGAAAGAATACACCAACAGCACAGTCATGAGCTGCGAGAGACCCCACTGTAGTCATCAGGGCCAAGATGGCAGAACAATGTGGACTCAGCAGTGTCTGCGGTTGTTATGGGGTTATGTCGAACCAGTAAACACATCTATTCAGACAAACTGTTGCTGGGAATGCATTGATATGGCATGAAAGAGGCTGCCTTTCCTAAGGAAATAAAGTGCTGCCTTGTCAAGTATCATTGTCTTAAGTCTTTATTCAACCTGCGACACTTGCAACAACAAATGATTACTCATAAATAGAAAAAAAAAACATGTTTTTAACACACTAGTAGCATTTCCCTTTGAAAACAACCATATAAATGTATACTTCTGAATGGCCTGCGACAACAAAAGACCAACGCACCTTTCTCCTACCTTTTCTTGGTAGTTACAGTTAATTAACTTATTTAAAGTGTTAGCGCGCTATAAGGCTCACTTCATCTTTTGCATGAGTCTAATACAACAGTCATTCTGGGTTTTGTGCATTATGAGTATTAAAAACACTGACTTTTCAAAGAATATAGACTGATCGAAGAACTCCCTCGATGGATTCTCAGTACCTCAAACTTTAAAGCAGTTAAATTAAGAACTTTAATGATCTTCCTGGATTATCTTCTACAAAACAAGTGAGGGAGTTCAGGTGTGTGACGAAAATCAAAACATTAAGGCAGGAATCGTGATTCATAAAATGAACAACCAAACACAGGCGGGCTGAGGAGTTAGCCTCCGATGTAACAATGATGATAACGTGATACTCTTCAGGATTTCGGGGAATAATCTTCCCAGGATCGTCCGGATGACAGATGAGCTTGTGAAATGTCAGGCTGGGATCAGGTTTTAGTGATGTCTGCTAGTGTAAATTCTGTTCCTGAGAACGACTACTGGGGGGAGGTGGTGTTTGAGGCCCAGGTGGTGCTGGATGTGGTCGAACCATCTCGTTACATTCACATACTGCTCCTTTTCCTGGACTGCCAGGTCAACCTAGGTGAGAGAGAGAGAAGTTTATCAAAAACAAAACATGGAAGCTATAACGAATGCTGATCAGTCTTCTTTATCCAGCATTCATGGTGTTTTCCTGTTTTTTTTTAATGTGTGACAAATAAATATAAAGGGAAAATGCAGAAAACAAACGTGTTTTAAGACCTGTTTACCAGATTTGGAAAGTTTCTGTTCTTTTACACATTACAGAAAATACCCTTCCTGGTAAATATAATCAAAAGATTTGCTTGTGTCAGGTTGAAGTCTCTGACAGGAAATGCAGATGGTGATCTAGTAATAATTTGGACGGCTATGACCTCATCACAAAAACTGCTCTGACCTTCACAGGCCTTTCTAATTTTAGCCAGAGCGAGTCCAGAGCCATCATCTGTTGGGGGTCTAAAAGTCTCAGTGACCTGAAGTACCCCGAGATGGAGATGAGTAGAGTATAAATTTACTGTATGAAGTAGTCTGATATAGTGTTCAAGGAACTGCCCACTTTTAACAGCAGGAGTCAAAGACACCTGTTTCCCTGTTAGTGCAAAATGCAGGAGGAACAGAACAAGAAAACAGCCAAAGACCAGGATGTATCAGGACGTCCTTGGAAAAAAAAATCTTATTAAGCATGTGCTTTTTCGTCATCTAATTAACTCGAATGTGGAAATACCCACTTAGACAACAGTTCAGCCTAAAACCATTCCAGCATCAGTCAGGTTTAATGTTTGTGTAATGTTGTTTTCCATGAATTGAACATCAGGACAGGCGCTGGTTAAGGGTTGGGCTAGCTGACCCCTGGTCCCCGAGGTTAAAAAGCGCACTGATTGCAAACCAAAGTGACGCTCCTCTGCCTGGTGGCGGGAGGCAACCTTCCATCTCCGCCACAACCACTGACATCTCTCAACATGTGATCCCACCCTCCCTCCCTCCCTCTCATTCCGTCTCTCCCATTTCTGGAATCACTTTTTCTAAATCCTGGAAGGCATAACAAACTTGCTTGTTCCTGGTCCGGGGCTAAAGATATCACTTTGTGCCACATCACTTTATAACGAGAAGTGAGAATGTGTTTATAACCCGTGTGTTTATTGCCAACTTGCTCTTAATGGCCTTTGGCCGTATGACTGGTCTGATTGTGTGTTATGCACAGTGACAAATTGCTTATTAAAGTTGTGGTTTGACTGAAGTGAGCACTGATAGGGAGGGAAAGAGATGGATGGAGGGATGGACGGATTGGTGGGTGAGAGCCTCCTTGGAAAAGATACAGAGGCAAAACGTATCAATCACATTAACCCAAGAATAGGCTTCGGAAAACTGAGGAAATTCTGAAGTTTTCTATAAAGTTTATCAGACAATCCACATAGATTTTAAAGTATAGACATATTTAGAATAGAGTTTCGATCACAGATGGCAATAAAAAAAATCTGAATCCTGATGACTTACTATGAGAGGATGGACTCCACAGTAGATGAAAACATCAGCTAGGGTGAACTGGTTGCCAGCCAGGTAGACCTTATCCTGCAGGTAGAGGTTGAGATCCTGCAAGAATACATGTTCATAACATAAGCAGCTATGCAAATGAGCTCATTAATCTATACACTGTGGTATGCATTTCTGTCTTTGCATGAGAGCTGAATACATTAAACATGAGGGGGACATTCCTGTGAATCACCAATGAAGCCTCCTTGAGGTGCAGTTGTTTGTCCAATGACTTGTTCTGCTTTAACAACAAACTCAAACAGAGAGAAATTAAAATGAAGACGCAACTCTGCAAAGAAGTTCATGAATAAAATGAATATTTCATGTGTAAAACGCAGCTCTCATTATGGACACTTCATGTATATGAGGGAGGCACGATAGCAGGTTCGTTAACCTATATATCTGTGGGTGCGTGAGTCTGGAGCCTCGCTTGCGTGTGTGTGTCTATGATCTGTGCTTTGTGGGTAGGAATAATATGTAACCCGAGGGGGTAGAGCATCCCTTCCCATGACTGGGGACTAAGCACAGATGCTCTACAAAACAGGCTATTTGTTTACTCAACTACCAAATGAATACAACTCTAGCTGGCAAATCTAATGAAGCTGTCCTAAACTTGGGCATCATGATGTGTGTTTCTCAGGCCATGTCTGTGTGTGCAAAGTCGTGCATGGCAGTGCTGGTCCCAGGGGAAGGGGACCATCTTTAGCACTTGTACATTGTGCAAAGGAAACACTCCATGCACACTGAGCATCTTGGGGGCAAATGGAGTTATTGTGCGGCAAGAGTGGGTGATGCCAAACAAGGCATGAAGACTGCAGACTTCCTCTCCTTCCACAATCAGATCCTTGCTTTTCCTAGCCTGCAGCCATGAAGCTGAAGCCCACTCGAGCATCAGCAGAGGGACAGCTCTCCAGACACACCCATCCAGCACATGGAGCTTCAACCTGGGTTCTTTTCTACCTGGCCCTGCCATGAATGTAAGCTCTATGGATGGTACAGTCACATTAAACAATGTGATAAAGCTTGCAGCTACATTTAAACGTACAGAGTTAGGTACCAACTTTGTTTCTGAAATTGAAAAAAACGTGAAAAATTCCTTGTTTGAAGTCTTGTTTTTCGCCCTTTGGGTGGGTCATGCACCAACTATAAAATCAGCAGCTCTTATAACATTAATGCTGTTAGAGCCGTTTGTGCACTACTGATCATTTGACAGATATTTAATCATTTCTGTTATTTAACCTGATTGGAATTCTGAGAGACTGAACAGTTGTATAGTTTTACTTTAAACTTTAATTGAAGCAGTGTTGTTTTCGTTGACGGAAAAGTTTTCGTCAACATCATCGCCAACGAAAACAACACTGCAGAATATATGTTTAGCAATTGACTGACGAAATGCTCATGAATTTTGCAATTCTGTTCTTCGTCCACCACTGACGTGTTTACATTGACGTCATGTCTCGTCAATGTAAACACACATTTGCCTTGTCACATTTTAGTCATCTAAGACTTATGTTTAGCTCATCAACATCACGTCTTCGTCGTGGAAAAAAACAACACTGAATTGAAGCCGATTACCACTGCAGCTCTCCTATTGGAGGAGACATGTAATGTGAGACCTGCAGGTTTTTCTTGGGTAATTAGTGCAGCTGTGGGTCTTTGAGAGCAAAATAGTTTCTGACCATGTTTACATCGGGTCACAATTTTGTCAATATTATTTGTAAAAAGTATTGTTTTGTTATGCAAAGTAAAGCTCCAAGTAAACAACCATATACTCAGAGGGTCTTCAATCATTAGACGGAGCTGCACTCACAAATGCCTTTGTACTTATTATTTTTAAATGCACTTTAACTTAGCCTCTGTTGACAGTTATCTGGTGCCACAATAGTGAAGGGACTACTTTCTATCATTGCTGACCATCAATCTATACATTCTATCAAGACACATTACAGGCACTGTGCATTTAACGGTCTAATTAAGCATTCAGTAAACTTTCCAGTCTTTCATAACTGACGCATGCCTGCTGCCTGTTGTAAAGATGTTGGTGCAACTGTTGACTTAAGACAACGTTTGAACAAACTGCATGCATTTATTCAGTTGTGTTTTATTTGACTGTGTGTTTCACTTTTCAAACAACTGGTAAGCAACTTCGTCAAACTTGAATCCACTCCTAGTCTCACTGATTTATGGAGGTAGGGCAGACTTTTCCAAACTCTCAACTTACCGGATGTCCTTTGGAGGTTGAGGCAGTGAACCTCTCACATTTAACACACCTAAATACTGATTCATGTTGAACAGCTCATAGAGTCAACTTGTTGTTTATGCTTTGTGTTGTATACTTATGTCTTTGAAAGTGCTCTAAAATTAAAATGAACTTAATACATGCATGTCCTCTCTAGCCTCTCTTGTCTAAATCAAACTACATGCGTGACACGGCGTTCCCTAAAGAAACAAGTCTCAGCTTGAAAAAACTATGAATTCTTCATTTGCACTCAAGGGTGAGAAAGTTTAAGAACTCCATGCAGTTGACAGTTTTTATCTCCGGACAATATAATGGAAGATGACTGGTGTGCTTGTGAGGGGGGTGTTAAAGATGGAGCCAAAGCAGCAGGACAGGACAGGGGGCCACCGGGCGACACGACTGAGCTGCTCTGGGCGACTTCCTTCTGTAAGTGGCACCATTAAAATATTTAAAAGGCCTGTCCAGAAAACATGCTGCCGCACAGCATGATTCCTCAGCCATGCCACAAGTGCGTGTCATGCTGAGAAGTGTGCGCACACAGACACACACGTAAACACTCCACGCTGACACAACAGTGCCAAGAGGCGCTATGCGTCCAGCAGACCAGTGGCTGGTGATCCATTTCACGCTGACTGGCGTCAGGCACATTAAAGCATTTTTCTCTGTCATGTGGGGCCATGTCACTGAAGGGCCATACATCAGTCTGTATTCCTGTCGCCTTTGCCTGCAAAAACTAAGCACTCATGCACACACAGCTGCCAAGAGAGGAGAAAACTGAGATGCTGTGGTGCCTTTTGAAGGTAAGGACCAGTTTTTAATGACTTATTTGGATGAACTGTCATCTGCAAACTGAGATAGAAGTTTGAATGAAGAACAAGAGAAACATCATTGAATTTATGATGAAATCGTAGGGTACTGTAATAATCGTTCCACAATTATAATGTAGTGGCAGCGTCACTCTGCGGAGGCGAGCGAAGCTGAGTATTTACCAACCTAACCCGGTTGTAGCCTTACCCACCGTAAAAAAGCCTTGGTAGCAAAATGTACAAACAAACCACCACAAAAGTAGTCCCACATCCAAAAACAAACTCTCGAATTAATGCCAGCCTGACAAAAACGAGAACATTAAAAGAGAAAATTAAGAAATTTTAAAACACCCACAATGCATTGCGGCCACCCAAAGCACTGTTGGAGTGTGTCCACTCTGTGAACCGGAAACAGTTGGAAGAAGAAAAAAATATTAATGCACCCGTTCCAACTTCCAACCAACGTAACGATGCAGCCGGACCAAGAACAGTCGGAGACTGAGAATGAAGAAACACCTCAGCTGTATCCCCCTATTAAAAAGGTTTCGTCGGCAGTATGGACGTTTTACCTGACACAAATCTGCAGGTTATGCTGTAAGGAAGTTGCAGCACCGTTCTCTAACACTTCAAACCTACGTGCCCACCTCCATGAACACCATCCAGCATCGGTCTACACTACTACTTATTATTGACAACATTAGTGACGTTTCTGCTAACTTTAGCTCCAAAAAACTAATGCTCCCAACGTTGCGTTTGCTGCCTCTTGCTCATATTGTTTGTGCGTGTCATGCTGTGCACAGAGAAGTGATTTCGCAGTTTTTTGCCGTTTTTAATAATGTTAAAAGCACTGCGCTAATATCGTGATAATATCGTGAATCCTGATATTTTGGGCCACCAATATCGTGATATCAAATTTGTCATATCGGCACATGCCTACTACCTTCAGAATAGTCTTCATATCTTCTTTTGTGCAGCCGTCTAGCTTGGTGACTCGGTGCTCCAGCCACTGCTGCACCACAGCCCTGCTCTCTGCAGAGTCCCCCAGCAGCTCTGGGCGCTTGGCTTCTTTCACCAGGTGACAGGCGATGGTCACCAGCCCCACCAGCGGAGGACCATTATTATTCTGTAAGACAGGTATCTGTATGGACAGGTGAGAGAGAGAGAGAGAGAGAGAGAGAGAGAGCAAAGAGGCAAGGGTGAGATAAAAATAGTGTAAAAGCCAAAAAATCACAGCCTTTCCATCTTCAACTGTCACCCCTCTCCTGGATTATTCATTCATTCTCTATTGGTACAGCACAACCACTCCTCCCCTGCGCATGCGCGAAGCATACTGCTATTTTCATTATGCTGAGTAGTAAAAATGAAACAACCGGCATCCACGTTACCTTGAGATGTCATGAATTTCTGCTTAATAGATAGGTCTATAGTAAAACATCACCTTATTTTACATAATAGATAAGCCAAAAGAGACCTTCTTTGACACACGGGTCTAGCTTGTTAGCATATACTGCTAGCTCCTGGGCGCTATCTACACTCGCTTTACGGCTTTAAAACAGAGTAGTACTGTAGTATGAAGTTTAGGATTAAAGCAAAATAAGAAACGGGTCATGTCACCTTTTTATCCCCCTGTGTGCTGTACTTGTTCGGCTTTTTTAATCCTAAATATTTCTCCAACGAAGATAGCTCCCGCAGCGCCATGCTTCTAACGGGCAGTGTAGTGTGCGTGTGATCCGATTGGATAGAATGTCCTCCGTCCCGCCTACTTTGGTTTGACGGACAGGAGTGGCGACCGGTTGAATCACAGCAAGTCAGTTCATCAAGACATTGCATCAGTGAATGGGACACGGTGCCCTGGTATAATGACACAAATGCCATGAAAGGGGGCCACATTGTTGTTAAAATCCCAATACAGAAGTGTCGAAGGAAATCACACATAAAATAAAAAAATACAATGATATAAATAAATGTATAAAATAAAATAATAATATCTTACATTGTAAAATGGCTTGAAAATATATCCTAACTGTATGAATAAAAACAGACAGGTAATATTGTTAGGGTAATATTTCATCTGACACTATTGACATAAGAACTCGAGTCTGCAGAGACAATCTGCTGTAAGAAAATTGCTGGATACTTATTGAATTTATTTATTTTATAATTTATCTTCATTAAATTCTTTCACAAACACAAATTAGCCTCTCGCACATGTCTTTATTGGTTATGATCCCAGCTTTCCCGGGAGTTAAACACTTCAATCTTCAAGTTCACGGATGCATGATTTCTAATCTCAGAGCTTCTACATGTGTATTTATGGTTAAATGGAATCAGATAGACAGTGCAAGGTTTGCAGTCTCAGTATGAAGTCCTGCAGCAAAGTTTCCCTGTCCTGTCCATCTGTTCATGCTCTGTGCCCTGGTTGTGACATTGAGTGTCCTGTCTGTTTGGATTTGCCCTGTGCTTTTACAATTTCTCCATAATGAAATGTCACCTGTCAGTCAAAACTGGGCTTATTAACTATATGCTGTCCAATGTGTTTGTGTGACACCATCGAGAGTGACAGCTGGGCCGAGGTGTCACACTATGAGCGTCATTTTTTTTTCTCCAGTGGTCCCAGTTTGTAACAGCTCACCTGAATGACGAAGCTCGAGGTGATGTCTTCAGGAATAGAGATCAAATTTTTATTTTTGATTTTTATTGACCTTATTCAGACTACAATAACATGGAAAGAGATGTTAAGTAAGGAAGACAGCTGTTGGTGAGTCCAAACTCAAGTCTGCTGCAGCTGCTTTGTACCACAGCTCCAGACAGGGCAACTTAATGGCACCATGTGCACATATTCAAAACCATCCAAAACTCCAAAATCAGTGTTTTATATTTAGAAGTACTTATGTTGTTCAGACTTTATTGTAGACTTGGGTACTTTAGCAGACTATTTAAAGCCAACCGTCTCAAATTTGGGTGTTTTTAAATCTCTAAATGGTCTGGCTCCATCTTACCTCTGTAAACTTCTCCACCCCTACACCCCTGCTCGGTGCCTCAGGTCAGCTGATCAGCTGCTCCTGGAGGTACCGGGGTCCAAACTGAAGCTCAGAGGGGGATAGATCTTTTTCTGTTACGGCCCCAAAATTATGGAACGAGCTACCCCTCCAAATCAGACAAGCCCCCACACTGTCCATTTTTAAAACTCGTCTTAAAACCAGTTTTTAATCATTGGCTTTCAACCCTACATGAGACTGTTTTAGTGTTTTATGGTTTGATTTTGGGGATTTGTTTCTATTGTTTTTAAATTAGTTTTTTAAAACATTGAAACTATATTTTACTTTTTAATATCTGCTTTTATTTTATCCATTGTTTTAATTGTTTTTTGATTGTTTTTTATGTCTGCGTTGTTTTGTCTATTTATGTACAGCACTTTGGTCAGATGTGGTTGTTCTAAAGTGCTTTACAAATTAAGTTGAGTTGAGTTGAGTATTATTCTTACATTCTTATACTTGCACATAGTCTTTCTAGTACTGAAGGTGCAGTCTAGTGTACTTCTAATACTGTTCAGGAACTCTGGATGCTCGTATAAGCAGCCGTTGTGCTTCTTGCAGACTGCTTTTGCATTACCATCTACCTGGATTCTCCCCTCTCACCATTTGTGCTTAATATAACAGAACAGACGATATTTTTAAACCCAAAAGCTGTCCCAGAAAACAAATTAATTATAAGAATGAGTACACAGACTATCACAAATGATTAGATGCCATGGAACAAGGTAAAGATAATTCTCTGTATTTTTTCAGCTAACCCTCCTTTTTGCTGTTTGTTTATAGGCTGCTGCATGTCATGCACTTTTACCGTAGCAAGGCTTCCACGCCTGCAGCATAAAACTACGTTTCCTTTAACTAAATGCCTCCAAGCTGCCACATCCTGTCTGTATTCAGGCGGGCTGAGGACAATGATCCCCAGCGCCCAGGACTAACTGTAGCCTGTGGGAGTTTTCTCATGCCGATTGTGATATGCAATCTGGGGTCACATTAGTAGGGAAATCTACATTGGGGGTCACTGAAGTGCCGTGGGGCTTCTCAAGGCAGGCGTAGCCATAAACACAGCCTCAGTCCTGGTAGATATATCCCCCTGTGCTTAGTGTGTGGCTTACAATATGCTGTTACACTGATTTGTCTAGCCGGGATGCAGGGCCTGTCTCCTCTGTTACCTTTCATGACCTGTGAGAGCTCTCCGACTGAACACTACGTTTAAACCACACAGATGCTTTCAGAGGGAGAGGGGAGGGATTGGTTGTGAGTGGTCGTCATGAACGCTGTCAGCATGGATCGGTGAAATTGCATATTGGTGTTAGGTTGGATTCCCAGCATAGAGTGAACATGGGGACGAGCGTCAGGCGGCTGTGTGACATTTTGGGAAAAAGACAAACTGTGAGATGAAGACAGACAGATGTAAGAGGGTTTGCGGTGCTTCCTGTACCTCCTGCTCCTGTCATGTTTTGTTTCCCGTTTGATTTGATTACATCCAAAAGCCAGATGCAGTGTATTTATTGAAGGAACTAACATGAGAAACACATTTTGACAAAAGGGTATAAATGGCATCATTTTTGTCATGGTTATAAAATACAAATTCTTTCTGCTTTTTGTTAAACCTTAAACAGGAAAAGATCAAATTATAATTTTGATCATTCTGATAGTCTAGTTTCGAGTGCAGTGTGTCAAGTCATTGACTTTTATATTGAAAAATTTAAAAAGGGCAAAAAGTTCAAGTCAATTTTTGCCAAAAGCTCAAAGTTGCATCTCATTGTCTAAGTTGCAGTCTTAACCCCCACCAAAATATTACTTAATAGTTTTACAACAGTCTTTAGGGAGTTACTTTCACAGCATAGTTTTAACAGCTAACTTTTTAAACCACAGCAAAGCCAATTATGGAAAAATAGATCTAAAATCAAGCTTCCTGGAAAATATTGTCTAACGTACTTTAAATGGCTTGAAATAAGTTAATGTACTTGCAATATGAAATTATTACTCTTTACAGCTCATATGAGGAGTTTTGAGGAAGTTATGAAATAGACTGAAATTGATATTGATGCATTTTCATGACTTCCGAAAGCAAACAAGACCACAAGCAACAAGATTTACAATTTTCAAATTGTTATTTTTCAGTCCCTAAAATGGTGCAAGGGGGTCGGTGTCAGTCAAGTAGCTGAAGAAACAGGCCTGATTTTCAATTTTCACATAAACTATTCATTATAACTGACACAATTGACTATCAAAAGGTAGCAGGATATTTTTTTTGTCAATTGATGCAACTTAAACATGTCCAGGACAAGATGAGGAATGACTGCTTTGTCCACAAGGGGTGCCAAAACTGATCTAAACTGAAAGTTCCTCACAGGAGCTCTAGAAAATAGGAAAGGGTGATAAAGTCAGGATTGGTTTTGGTCACTCCCTTCTGCCAGGAAACAAAAATCTAAAATGAATATTTATTGAGTGAATTATTTTGTAATTGCAGCAAGATCCTTTAAAAAATAAGTTGAAGTACTTTTTAAAAAAATGTTTTTCTCTATTTTAAATACAAGTTTACCACATAAAACAAAGTAAGGCTGCAAATCCTTTTAAAGGTGAAGCTGCAACCAGAGTAGTTTTTTCTACCAGATAAAGTACATCATAATAAATTTATAAACTATTTTATCATCAGATTTTGTATGTCGAGATGCTGAATTTTAAGAGAATTTTTAGAGAATTTTAATCTGAAACACCTAAACCTCATTTACATAGCACGTTTCTTTACATTCACTGTCACTGCCTACTTCATGTGACAGTAAGTCAGTCTCAGCCAGTGCAGTTAAAGACTAGTGGTAGTCTGCACAGTGTGTCTTTTGGCTCCAGAGCTGCTGGCTCTTGTAGTGAAGGGGAGTCAGAGGATGCCAGAAATGTTGCACCTCTAGGCGGGGCCTTTGGGCCTCTATGACGACAACAGTGATGGGATTATAGGAACCACCCTGCTGCTCAATGCAGAAACAGGCACCCAAAGGCTAGAAACAACAAGCTGGTCCCCCACTCCTTCACGCACAAACACACACACACACACATGCAAATGAGTGTATGTTTGAATATGTTTACGGGGGGATGGAAGGCTTGGATGAGCCAGTGACAGGAGTGGAGTGATGACATTTTTGTGGCATTTCATGTCTTTCCCTTAACATTTGTGACACGAGATTAGCATTGGAAGGCATGCTCCTTAGTGTGTGTGTATGTGTGTAGAGGGAGGGTGGTTGAGTCTGCCTGATCAGGAGAGACCCCGGGAGACAAACGAACAAGTAATAAAGGCACTTTCTCCATTTCCTCCTCTTCTGCTTCCATGCCAACCCACAAGGCTGAGGGACATGCTGGGGGACACAGTACCAGCTCACAGTAACAACAAACCCTGTCCCTGCCTCCCATCCAGCAGCAGTCACTTAGGACTATTAATTACTGCTCTGAATTTCCTCCTCCTTACCCGTAGCCATCCGTGTCCCCCTCAGACAAACAACCTCGGTGGGAGGATCTTGATTATTATAGCTTCTGAAAAGTCAGATTGTCTTTTATTGAAGTTGCCCACTGGCCATGCAGGTTTCTCTCTCCATCTCTCTCTCTCCCTCTCTCTCTGTTTCTGTCTCTCTGCTTCTCTCTCTTGCTCTGTGACTCTCATCCATGATTCAGACAAAGTCTTGAAGGAAACTGCCGTCATGAAGCTCTTGTTGTGCCTG